TGAGAGGTAACCACTTTCCAATCCTTTGTATATGCTATTATAGTATTGTGAGTGGATTTATGTTTTTGTGCTCCGAGTAATATATGGGGTTCTAAAGGTGTTTTGTATATTGAAAGAGAAATTTGTCTTGTGGGGTTTTTTATAATACTAAATGTATTGGGAAATTTTTGAAAAATATGCCACTGATTGAAGTAACTTGTGAAATGGTGTATTTACTCTTTGGTAAAGACATTTGAGCATGATGTATGTGTTGGGTTTTGGTGAGAGACTTAATTGTTACTACCAAGGTTCAAAAAACTGGACCAGTTAGTGAACCGGATGAGACACTGGTTCAAAGGTTAATGGGTTAGATCGGAGTCAAACCAGAATCAAACTGGTAGTAATTAAAATAATATAATATAATTAAAAGGTATAAAAATATTCATATTTTACTTATATAATACATAGTTTTTAATAAGGATATATTTAGAAAATATTTATCTATAAATTTTTTTCCTTTTTTATTGTTTTTCTCCTTCCCTCTTCCTCTTTCTTCTCTCCCCCACGTGAGCACCCTCATTCAACCATTCCCATCAATCTTTTCTATTTTCTCTTTCCTCCTTTAACACTGAACACAACTGACATGGTCCCATTTAATTTCTTCCCAAAACACGCATCATCAGACCTTATTTTTCTCTTATTTCTCTCTCTTCCTCACTTCCTCTCTCCACGCCTCGTTCATCTCTCTCTATATTATCTTCCTCATTTCCTTCCCTGTCTTCAGTCTTCTGTGAGCAGAGGGAGAGCACGAGCTTCTCCGGCGAGAAAGAAGGTAAGAAAATAACCGGCAACCTGCCTAACCCAGTGGGTTTCCTGGTTTTTTCTGGTTTTAAGCGATTTATCCCGAGTTATTACAGGCTAATCAGAAGGCCGGTTTACACACCAAACCAGACCAGACTGAACGTCGGTTCGCCAGTTTCCTGCTTGAACCAGCCGGTCTAGTCCGGTTTTTTGTACTCTGGTTACTATCACGTGGTGAGGCTTCCATTAATGCATAATGGTTGGCTCTTTACGTCCCCATAGTGAGGGATAGGCTAGGTTCGGCTCTTGTAAATCCCAAAAAGTGAGGGATTTGGTAATGGATAGCATCGTTGCACTTGCATGATTCGTTATGGCTATCATTTATAATATTACATGTTAACTGCCCCACTTGACACCTCACGAGCACCTATTGGTTTGTATTCTGAGTTGGAAAGGTTGGTTACTGGGGCTTTTGTCTCACCCCGTGGTTTATAATGTTTTCAAGTGAAGTTTCTAGGCGTACGTCGCCGGGAAGGAACGCGGAGGCTTGAGCTTAGTTAGTTGTAATGCCTCTGGCCTGTGCTTTATGTATTGTTGGATTGTATATTGCCACTCATAGGGCCTTTTTGGAAATATTTTGTTGGTACAATAGTGGTGTAAAACAGAGACCCTTTCGATTCCTTCTCTGGTTGGTCGGAGGCCACTTGTTATGTTTTATGAAACTTTGATTTACATTGTTGGAAAACAATTTGATGGGCTTATGTTGATATCTTTTGTTACCTGGGCCAGAGGCTCAAAGACCTAGTAGATTTTAATGAATGATTTGGTTGCATGCAACAGATTTGTTGGGATTTCGGCCCATAGGTTTCGATGTTAGTTTCAAATGTATGCGAAATTCTTTTCTACTATGGTAGATTGCCATAACGGTTTTCCCTTTTCTACCATAGTAGTGGTTTTATATCGAGTTTTATAATGTATTAGAGAAGGAGTTTTTACACTGCTCGAGTTGCTTCATTGCTTAATGAACCAAGAGACTTCAAGTGGTCTTTGAATTCCTCCTCAAATGTACTCCAAGCACACGTGAAAAATTTCTTCTTTAACTCATTTCCTCTCTATTCCTCACTCTAGTTGGCATATATATGTCTAGCATAGAGTCTATGTTCAGCTTGAGGTAATACCTCACTCACAGCTTGTGCTAAACCCTGACATTAAGCAACAACAACACAATCAGATTTATTAAGCAACATACACAAAATTTAACAAAATAAAGATAGCGCAGTCTACCTTCTACATGTCTGATATTAAGGTCACAGTAGGCCCATCACCTAAATCCAGAGACTTGACAAGCCATTCAAGAAACCATCCCCAGTGAAAACCATTCTCTTTGTCACATTAGCCGAAAGCCAATGGATACAGTGAATCATTGGCATCCACACCAATAGCAGTTAGTAAGATACCCTTTGTTTTACCTTTCAAAAAGGTGCCATCAACACGGATAAGTGGCCTACATCCCTCTCTCCATCCAACCTGCCAAAAAAAACAACCCAAATGTGTTGAAAGCCTCGGACAAAACCATTTGTAAACAATTAACATAAAATAGCAGGATATTAGCAAGACTCATACCTTGGAAGCATTAAAACATAGGTACATCCTTCTAAAGACCCTTCTCTCTTGCTCCAATGCCTCATTGCTTATCTCCACACTCACATTTGAACCAGGATTTGATAGTCTTAATTCATTGCAATAAGTGTCCAACTTGGCAAATTCATCTACGTAGTTGCCTTCTATATCTAGTATTATCTTTCTTTTTGCCCTTTTGCACTTGAAGATACTGACATGCACCTTCATCTCACGCTCCACTTCCTTCTTCATTTCACTAATCTTAAAGTGAGGATTCTCTTAAACCTTTTCCCTAAAGTGCCGTGCAAGCCATTCAACTGAAGCTCTTGGGTTTTTGAAGACACGAGCACATTTATGCTCTGTGCACAGTGTCTTTATCCTAAACCCTACTTGGCCATAATCTGTTGAGGCATATAACATAAAGGGGAAATTATGTTCGCACACCACCCTTATTAACCTTCTATCACTCTTCTCTACTTTAAGGATGACCCCTTTTGATATTGCATACTTGTCTAAAGCCCTCTTTAAGTCCTCCTTATCAACAAATGTCATAACCAACATTAATAATGGGCTGCTACCCAAGGCCACCCACTCCTCATTCCCTCTTAATTCTTCTAGAGGCCCATAATCACAATATGGGCCCAACTCCTCATCACTTTCCTCACTCCCCACTCTGACATCCTCTTCAAATTCACTCTCAACACTCTCCTCAATGTCAGAACATCCACTTTCAGCAACATAATTTTCATCTTCACTGTCTGAACACTCTGAGGTAGAGTATTGAACTGTACTATTTGGCCCATGATGTTCATCTTTATCATCATCATTTTCATTTCCTACTCGAATCTCCACATGCCCAGACACTCTACCTTCACATGTACCTCCACTCTCATCATTTACTTCATGTACTCCATTCACCTCCTGATCAAATAGCCCTATTATAGGTTTCAGCTTCCTGTTTATAGGGTTTAGCTTGCTATTTACCTCACCCTCTTCACAGCTATTACCCTCTTCTATGTCATCATACTCCTCAGTGTCATCTAACCCCTCGAGCCCTTCTATATCCTCTGTCTCACTCCTATCATTCCCTTCTCTTTTATTTGTTTCATTTCCAATTTCCCATACACCTTTAGGTTGACTTTCCCATTCCCAACGGTGTCCATTTGGTATAATAATCTCAGCAATGGACCCATATCCCTTTCCTTGTCCAAAACATGCCTTTATTGATTGCACACATTTTTTAGCAAGATTACAGATTTTACTCACCTTATTCAGTAACCTCGCCTGCTTGTCTTCTAGCGATTCCTCTGTCTTACCCTTTTCCCCTTCGATGTCGGATGTGCCTTCCACATTAGACGGCATTATCATTGTACTAAGCAAAACAAATAACATAATCAATAGAGGGCTTTGATGGCATTACACTATTCAAAAACCAATATACAAATTTCTGGGATCCATTCAATGCTCACCTGTTGCTTTCGCCTACTCCGTCTTTCGCAGTCTATAACCCTATGCGTTGATGATTCCCACCACATGAGCCTTCACTCTCTCTCACTTTTTCTCTCTACGATAGCTTATTCATCCATAACCTTGGATTCCCTCTTCAATCTTTACACGCTTGCGCCTTCACTTTGTTCGATCTTTTCCTCCCACTTCTGTGCGTTTTCCTTAGACAATTTCCCTCCAAAACATCCCTTTCTAAAGTCCACTCCCATACCAACTGAGAGCCACGTCTGATCTTATCATCCCAACTCAGCCTCCATGTCAACTAACTTCAAGCATCTAACAATCAACGTGGGCCACTTCAACGGAAGTTGCATTTTTGCGTTGTTTTTGAATGACAATAGGTAATTTTGAACCAAAAAATTAACCATGGTGCCCAGTGCTCCTTTTGGGAATTACGATAGGTAAATTTACTCCTTAAACCTTTTTAATAATATGTCTGATTCTTAATATAAAAGCAAGTTGACTAATTTGAGTACATTAAGAAAACTAGTTAAGTTAGTTTTTAATAATAAATGTGTTATTTTTTTAAAAAAATATCCTTGCTAATTAAGTGTATTGGCTAGAACTATTACTATTATAAGGATTATCTTGAAAAAAAGGGATAAAAATGAAAGGTAAGATGGGTTGGGATCTTATGAAATGAGCTCTTATATTAACAACAGGAGGTAGTATTATGCTAATTTAGGTAATTTTTGAGGGATTTCACATTTTCATTTTCTTATTAGTCATTTTCCCAAAACAAAAACTGATTGGCGTCGGTGCTCAGCATGTTTATTTCCCTGACCTGAAATAAATATATATCATAAAAGTCAACTGTCATCGACACATTATTGCTCTTATGGAATTAAAGTTCCTGCGATTCATTTATATATCAAATTACATATATAATGTAGGGTGAATATTCAAAGGAGTATATAGCATTCCAAAAGTAGGATGTGTACATTTTTACCTTAGTTTCGGTCTAATAAAGTGATGAAATCGTATCTTTAAACTAGATTTTAATGACGCAGATATTTAAAAAAAAAAAAGATTGCAAAATTTTAATTAGTCAGCTTATATTTTATCTTTATGCATGGAACTCTAAAATAGAGCAGTTTAATAAAAATAATTATTTTTCTTTAATTTAAACCGTACAATGAGCATTTACAAGCTTAAGGAAGATGTATGATGTATCTAATTGAATCACATAATCACATCTCATGTTACACTAAAGTCTCACATTTGAGGACTAAATAGATAACGATTATCTGGTTTAATATTTGTTAAAGACAAAGCAGTAGCCACAATATGTTTTGAACTCAACCCTGCTACTTCAATCTGATCTGTCTGAGATCCATGGTTAATGTATCTGTCTGGTAGGGTCATAGCTCGCCACTGCAACAATTTAACAATCTCCTTTAATCGGAGTTACTGAATGAGAATGTGTGAAAAATAAAAGAAAAAAAGAAGATTGATTTATGGGAGTACCTTGAGATTTCCATCAAGGAGTCCATTCAAGCCTAGGAACTGAGAAACGTGAGAGCCAAATCCTCCGATGGATCCTTCTTCAACAGTGATAAGAACTTCATGCTCTCTAGCTAACTGCTTCATCAGTTCCCGATCCAAAGGCTTGCAGAATCTGGCATCAACCACGGTGGTTGAGATGCCTCGAGCTTCAAGTAACTTTGCTGCCTCCACACAGCTTTGAACCATGGTTCCATATCCCACAAGTGCCACCCTGCTTCCTTCCTTCAATACCCTTCCTTTCCCAACCTACATCCATTTCAAGTCTCCATCAGCACTAAATGATTGAGTTATGACTTTCACACATTCATCTTCAAGTCTCTCGGTTATGCTTTACGAGATGTAAAATCCCTTTCACATCTTTATCTCATGCAGCATAAAAATGCTTCTTCTTTTTTAAATTTAAGATAATCCGTACCTCTAGCGGGGTGCCTTTGTTGTTTGGTGGAAGCAGGGATCCTATGCCATTTCCTCTTGGGTACCTAAAAGAGCTAGGGCGGTCATCTATGGCCGCAGCCGTGGCTACCATGTGCATGAGCTCGGTTTCATCTGAAGGAGCCATGACCACCATGTTTGGCAGACAAGCCATGAAAGTCGTGTCAAAGGCTCCACAATGAGTTGGACCATCAGCACCCACAAGCCCAGCCCTATCTACTGCGAATCTCACTGGAAGCCTCTGAAGGTCCACATCATGTGCCACCTGCAAATTAAATTCACAAGTTAACAAAGTAATAAGAAGGACAAAATTATAAGAATTTGCAGCATCAATAGTCCTCTAAAAGTTTAGCATAATTTTGTCACCTGATCAAAACCCCTTTGCAAAAACGAAGAGTAAATTGCACAGAAAGGCTTGAGTCCTTCGGCAGCAAGGCCGGCAGCGAAGGTAACAGCATGCTGCTCTGCGATCCCCACATCGAAACACCTTTCAGGGAATTGCTTTTGGAATAAGTTGAGTCCAGTGCCTCCTCCCATTGCAGCATGGATGGCAACAATTCTGTCATCAGCCTCTGCTTCTGCTATTAGAGAATCTGCGAAGTACTGCGTGTAAGAACGTGTGCTTGGTTTGGACTTCATTTGCTTCCCTGACATGGGATCAAACTTCACAACACCTGCATATGTATAAATATAACAGTACCATGAAGCTCATTGTTTGAATTTGCGGGAACAAAGTTATATGCAGATAAACTTTTAGAGGCTAGGAAGCAACATAATACCATGCATCTTGTCTGGTGCTGCTTCCGCAGGAGCATAGCCTTTTCCTTTCTCAGTGATAACATGAATTAGAACAGGTCCTATGTCGGGCATGCCCTTGATTTTCTTCAGAACATGTACGAGGTCTCCTACGTTATGGCCGTCCACTGGACCAATATAGTACAGCCCAAGCTCCTCAAACAAGCAAGCGCCTGGACCACCCGCTATTCCTCTCATGTACGCATCCAATTTTGCCGCAAACTCGTGTGTCTGGCCTCCGATTTGCTTGGTAATTCCCTGTTATTTTTGTCGGCAAACATTAGTTGTAGAGCATAAAGCCCATCAGGACGCTCAAAGGTCTGTCGTCTCCCATCTAAAGCACGTGGTGAGCAGGGAGGGGAGTGTTATAAGGACCCACAACGTGTGAATCCCACTAGGTCCCACAGAAAATAAATGTGAATTTCTAAATAATATATATCATGCTGGCAGGGATATACCTTGGCAGCCTCACGCAGTTGATGGAAATTTCTGCTGGTTTGTAGTCTTGTGAGGGCTTTGCTTAGCGCGCCGACCGGAGGAACAGGGCCGTCGACGGTGGCGGTGGGAAGGGAGACTTGTTCATTATCATTTAAAATTATGATCATATTGGTATCAAGGAAACCGGCGTTGTTCATTGCCTCGTACGCTTGTCCCGCCGTCATTGCGCCGTCACCGATCACTGCAACCACTTGGTTCTCCTTCCCTATCAAGTCCCTCGCAACCGCCATCCCTGAATGACCCACAAAATATGCAGTTTATTATTAAAGAACATGCAACTGATAGTTATCCTGCACTCTGGTGTTAACGATTTTATATATATATATATATATATATATATTAGATACCTAAGGCGGCTGAAATACTAGTAGAACTGTGACCAACTCCAAAGGCATCGTGAACACTCTCTTCCCTCTTGGGGAATCCCGCGAGTCCACTGGTCTGTCGAATCGTATGCATGCTGGATCTTCTTCCAGTCAAAATCTTATGAGCGTACGCCTGATGACCGACGTCCCAAATGATCTTGTCTTGAGGAGTGCTGAAAACATGGTGGAGGGCGACGGTTAACTCCGCCACGCCGAGGCTTGAGCTCAAATGGCCTCCTGTCTTCGAGACTATGTGAACAATCTCTTCTCTCAGTTCATCGGCAAGCACACCGAGCTCCTGATTCCCACCGGATCGATCATGCTCAGTACAGTTCACAGATTGCAGAGGAATGAGGGTGATCTGGAATAATTAATGGCAAGAAGGACCTTTACCTGAAGAGATAGATTCTTCATGTGAATTGGGTGATTGATGGTGTCCAAGATGGGAGTAGAAGGTTTCTCTCCAGAGAAATTCAGAGGCTTCCCCAACTTGATTGATTCCAAGGGCTTCTCCTCCTCACCAACGGTGCCTCCTCCTGCAGCCATCATCGTCACTCTCTTCATCTGAAAATCAAACAGAAACAGAAAATGTAAGCCTCTGAGACTCCATTAACAACGCGGAAAATTGGTTTGAAATCATTGATCTCATCATAATCGTACCTTTTTGGGCCTAGTTGCAGAATAAACTTTGGTTGTTCGGATTGAAAGAGTAGGGGAAGAGGAGGTGTTATCCTGAGAATGGTGTATGGGAAGAAAACTAGTGCTGAGAAGAGAGGAAGCCATTGCTGAGTAGTTGAGATGAAGAGAATCAGTGGAAAGATAGTGCTTGAAGGTGCCGAGCGGAAGGCGGATATCTGTGGAATTTATAGAACTGAACCTTCGGCCTTTTGGCACTGTTCATGTTATGACCGCTTGACGGACGTCAGCAGTGAGACTTTGAATTTTCAATATGGAAAACTAAAATATCTAATGATCTTAGGGGGTGTTTGGCAAAACTAAAACTTAAGTTTCAGAATCACTTTTCTACAAAACAAGGTAACCTCCTCTACATATTTACTTCGTAATCCGTAAAAAACTTCTAAAACATAGTTTGATTTCTATCCAAACACCCCCTTAATATCCTTCTTTTTAATCCCTGCGAGAAATCCAGCATGTAGTTACCACACTCACACCCCGGACAAAGCTGAAATTAACTTTCCAATCTTTATGACATCAGCGTCATAGTGATCCCTGAGGCTCAGCACTGATTGTGACTGGTTAGGTACGAGATAGTAGTAATAAATTAATAATAGAGTCATGCTCATACCTCACTGCTGATATTGCGGGGCGTGTCCAAAATCATTATTTAAAAATTACTAAAGACAACTGCACGCGGCTTTAGGTCATACGATTCAGTTTACTTAATATAATAATAATAGGTGGATAAAAATCACATTTCGAATTTTTTATAAAAATAATCAGAAATGCTATATACTAAGAGTAATATTATAATAGTGTCAATAAGTATTAAATACTTTTTTTTTCCATATATGCTCGTATTTAAGGAGGAACAGTGAGAAAATAGAAATTAATGTTATGATGTTAGAATTTAGACTAATTGATGAGAGTAATATTAGAAATCACTTAAATGTTATGACAAATTTAATGCTCATAACTATTCCCAAAGTCCTATTTATAAGTTACTTCCAACATATTTTACACAAATAAAAAAAATTTTAAACTTTATTAACTCTCATTTAAAATTTAATGACTTTTTAACTTTATCTCTGTTTAATATATATTATGCCTCATGTAAACAGAGTCAATACAATAATAAATAAGATCAAAAAATATCTTCTCTCTCTGTCTTATAAATAGGATCTGAGAAATATTTATATTAGCATGTATGAATTAGTAAGTTGGTTCTTATAATAAGAATAAGAGAAAGTAGTAAGTTGGGAAACTAAGAGAAATGGGATGAGCAAACCAGAGAGTCATAGGCGAGTCCAGAGCTGAGGATTGAGTTATTGAAACAGGCTACAAATGAGATAAAAGATGAATTACTAAAATATTAATTTTTTTTGAAAATTAAAATATAAATTGGTCTCATGAAAAAAGTTTAATTTCTTTCTCTTTTTTTTCTCTGCGTACCTTGAAAATTTCAGCAATTCTATGAATTTTGGGTTGCTTAAAATTAAAGCCAGCATTCATTTCGGTTCCGATTCGTCAACATATGTCTTGAAGGTTAACTTTTGTATTTACAAGTGTCAGGCATAAAGAAGAAGATGGATTGAATTTGCCAGCCTGATCGATCATAACAGACATAAACATTTAATATTAAATATAGAATTATTTATATTTGAATACGCCTACATAATTATCACATGCGTTAATATTCTCACGGTCACAGTACTTATACTTATAATCAGCCTCTTAAATTAAACTTTATAATGATAACGAGGATATCGTTTAGTTGAATAAAAAAGGGTCACGTCGAAGTTATAGAATGCTTTTAATCACCTTCTTAATTAATCAATCAATCTGTTCATCATCTGTATGTGAATAAAAAATTTATGAATGATTAAGTGATTGTGTGAAGAGAGAGAAATAATACGAATGTACGTAGAAGGAGAATGAATATAGAAGGAAGGTGTGAAGTGAGTACGTGGCAAGTGGGGAGTGATCATTTATGTGGTTAGTGCTGAAATTGCGAAACGTGGAACACGCCAAACGCAAATTAATTAAGAAAATTTTTTTGTATGGATCTAGAGTGCCACCTCACTTGTGAACTGGTCAATCACAACTCATCAACTCAAGAGTATTTTAATCTTTTTTTTTTTTTTGGGCACTCAAGAGTATTTTAATCTGATGTGCCAATTTTTATGCAGGGCAAAAATAGAGAAATAGATAAATAAAACAATTCACTAAAAAAAAAAAAAAAAAAAACCACGCACGCCCTGTTAATTTTTCCCCCTTCCCGTGCTGCCATTCCTCCATCTCCCCCAACCCCCATTTTGCCGCCTGGTTGTTTTCATCATTGAGAGAGAACAATTGCTTGCAGTGGGCACCGGAATTCCATTTCAATTTGTGTTTGAGCTTTTAAAACTACGAATTTTAAATGGCAGTAAGAACCCAGCTCTGTTCGATGAACTCGTTAAAGGCCAAAGCCCCAATAATCTACAAAAATAAATGTAATTAAGAATGGGAGATATTGATTTGACAGGTACAAGCCATTCTGTTGATTCGCACAACAAGTGGGTGGAATCAAAAGGCTTATGAAATATCTAGAGGATGGTTCTTGTCCCTTGTAAGTCCAAAGCTTGAACTATACATATTTGGATAAGTATTGATGAGTAACCAATCAAAACCAAGGTGAGGAGATAGATGACTTCGACGTCATGGACTTTTCACTGCCGAAGACGATGAGGTGAAGTTGGGCTAGGGCAGGTTGAACGCTTTTAGAGAACCAGATATCTGCCAATTCCTGAGGAGGTTTTTTTTTTTTTGGTTGCGATTAAGAGCTTTATTTTGAAAATAAAATTCGAATTGCTTGAGATGAGTTAGGCTGCCAAACTAAGATCATAATGAGTTGAGTTGTTATGATTTGGACCACAAATGAAGTAGCACTCCAGGTTCATACAAGAACTTCTCATTAATTAATCTCTCCATGGTTCTATATATAAATTTTAAATAACTGAATCATGTTTAATGAACTAGTAATTAAATTAGTAAAAAATAATAAACAGGTTAGAAATGAATTTTTTCCCTCTAAATTTGCTCTTATTTATAAAGAGAGTAAATGAGAGGCAATAAATAAAAAAAATGATGAAAGATAACATATGCAAGTAATATTAATGAGAGAGATTATTAAATACGGTCAACTAAGGGTAAAATAGAAAAAAAAAATGCTCAGGAAAACTAAAACATAAAACTTATATTTTGGACCAAACTCATCTTTAAAAATCAAGTTTATATTTTTAACCAGGCCCATCTCTAAAAATAAAGTTTATATATAGACGGGGAGGGAGTAGGTGAAAGAAACAATTGTTGTTTGTGTGGGTGAGAATTACGATATCCAGACAAAATAATATGAGAGATCACAATCCTAAACGTGATAAACAATATTTTGCACGTCTTCATCGTCCCACTGGGACCTGTCTATCATGTGCGAACAATTATTAATATCTCTGAATGTATTACTACCTCCTGTTTTAAATATAAGAGCTAGTTGATTAATTTGAGTAGATAAAAAACATAAATTAAGTTAGTTATTTGTAATAAATAAGCGTTGTTTTTTCCTAAAATATCATTATTAATTAAGTGTATTCGTTAGAAATACTATTATTAAAAGGATTACCTTGAGAAAAAAATACATAAATATGAGAGATAAAGTAGAGTAACATCTTATATTTAGAACTAAAACAAAAATCAAATAAGATCTTATATTAAGGATCAGAGGTAGTATATAATTTCAGTTCTACATAAATACTTAACCACATTACTTACGTACGTACTCCTCTAATTTTATACATTCACGGAAAATTTCTTTAAAAGATACTTGAATTACCCATATTTCAATTTGGGTTGTTAAACTTAATCAGGTCACATGATCCAAATTAGGATTTCATTAGAAATTTTATCAATTTGCGTTAATGCCTTTGAGTTATTGGACAAAGGAAAATCAATTTTCTATTACTTATTGTGAATTGCGAATAAAAATATATGAACTATGAAACTTAACTTGTTAATTTTTAAAGTCGACTTGTGCTTGAGTTCAAAAATGTTTATTGCAAAAGTTTTGTTGCGAATGGAAACTTATGAGTGGCAGAATTTAACGTGTTAATTTCTAAGAATGTCTTGTTCTACTATTAAGGTGTCTTATACTTAAAGTTATAATATAAAGTAGTTATTTTGAAAGTTTTGTTGAGAATGAGAACTTATGAATTGCGGATGAAAATTTTAAACTGAGAAATTTAACTTGTTAATTTTTGAAGTTGTCTTGTACCTAAATTTTATTGCAAAAGTTTTGTGACGAAAGAAAACTTGTAAAATGTGAAAGTTAACATCCTAATTTTTGGGATGTCTTGTGTTTGAACTACAAGATGGTTATTGCAAAACACTTGAAATTCATAATTCTATGCCAAGCTAAACAAATGACCATGTAAGGGTATACTTTTTTCAATCTATTTCTTTGAAAATCAAACATGAAAATCTACTTCAGAAGATATTATGCACCTGAATTTAATGAACTTCAAAATTCAGAAGACAATAGAAATTAATTGATCCTAAAATAAGAATATTGTAATCAAATAAAATTATTACAGCAAACCCAAAAACCGATGCAATAAAGTTAGTCAATCTCCACAGTGAAATGGACGAAGGGAAACTCTCAGCGGATAGAATGGAGGTCGAAGAAGAATGAAGAAAAGTTTGAAAACGATAAACCCCTCCCACCAACCACCATTGTTGTCTTCTTTTTCCTTAGCAAGCACCCCCTTCAACCTTTGCCTTCTTCTCCAGCAAGCACTTGAAACTTTGAAGCGAGGATTGATTCAAGTGGGGAAGGATTCCGTTAAACCAATTAGAATTGATGAGGCTAGGAAAAATCAATCAGTTGGATATTTAACTGGACAGGCAGGACAGATTCGAGGTTGTTGTGGAGGAGAAAAGAGAGTTTTTTTTTTTTGGGGTTGGGGGGGGGGGGGAGGAGATCGTAATAGAGAAAGAGAATGGAAGGGGAAATTTGAGTAACCAGAGAATAGAGGAGACATATAGTACTATAGGGCAGTAAAATCGGACCTTAGC